GGAAAGGACCCTGGCTCCTGCCCTGTGGAGGGTCCAGCCCTGGGGATCACGGTGTCCACTGAGCAAAATCCAATTAAGTGCTGCATCTAAATGAAAAGGCGAGCACATATGACACGGATATCTCCCTTTCAGCGACTGAAAGGAGCGTTTTTTCCTGAGAATGACTCGTTTTTATTAAATCTGACGTGCTGATCACTCCGAGTTGGTGTAAAATAATTGCCATAATAAGGGTAATTAAAAGCGCGCCATTCATTTTTCACGCGGTTTAGTAAAGCTCGCCCCCGCACGCTCATTATTAATTACAGCACGTGCCTTTCAAAACTGAATGTAATATAGCGGAGACTTTCAAAACCGAAACACATCCAAACCACATCCTCACAACTCAACCAAACCAGTACCAAAATAGTACAGAACTAAACCAAACACAAGTAAATCGAAGCTATAACTCAACCCAAACCAGACCGAGCCAATCCCAACTCAACCCAACCTGTCCTTACTCAACCCAGACCAATTTAAACAAATACTACACAAAAATAAACTCAACCCAAACCAAAACAAAACAAATATAACACAAAATCAAAATAAACTCAACCCAAACCAAAACAAAACAAATATAACACAAAATCAAAATAAACGCAACTCAACCCAAACCAAAACAAATATAACACAGAATCAAAATAAACCCGACTCAACCCAAAACAAACCAAAAATACTATATAAATCCGATACATAATCAAACCAAACAAAATTGAAAAAAGCAAAACAAATCCAAACCAAAGCAGAACAACCGAACCCAAACGAAAACAAACCAAACAAAACCAAATACAATACAAAATCAAAATAAACCCAACCCAGCCCCAAACAAAAAACTAACAAATTCAATGCAATATAAAACCGATACTTTACCAAAGTAAACTCAACCCAAACCAAACAAAATCAAAATAAATCTAACCAAACCAAACCAATACAAAATCAAAACAAAGCCATTTCAAACAATACACAATATTAAATCATAACAAACCCAAAAAACCAAAACAAAGCCAAAGAAATTGCAGCCCAACTCTAATCAAAGCAAACTAAACCAAACCAAGACGAAAACGTTCCAATCCAGTGGCTGTTTCACAGTTTTAAATCTACTTCAGTTGTTCCTGCTGTTGAAATTCTGGAGAATGTCAGTCTCATCAAACTAAACAGATCTCACAGCAATAAAATCAGAGAAACATTCGGCCAAAATACAAACGAATAATTAATTCATGCCAAATCAGAAAATCTAACTGCAGTTGGCAGCAGCGCTGAATATTTGAATCTGAACTCAGAAAACAGAGCAGACTCCGTATAGTCTTAAAATCTACTGCCACTCAAAAAATGTAAAAATAAAAACAGTTTATTTACAATATTTTTTTATGACAGTCGGTAGCGTGTTCTGCCTGCTTTATTTCATAGGTAATCGGATACTGGTTGTCTTAAATTGTCTGAGTTTATTAAACCTAAAATTTTCAAACAATCAAAAACAAAAACAGGCGCGTTATGGAACCGTGTATAATACAGTACTGAGTGACTGTTTTAATATGAACATGTTTCATACACTGTGAAAATGACAAAAACTGGACAAAAATCGCTTAAAATGTTGAGTTAAAAATCTACACGATTCTGTTATGAGTGAATTTAGATGGACCTAAACGAGAGAAGAAATAAGAGTTTGTCGTTTAGTTTTTTGTCCAGTTTTGAATTATTGCTGGTTGTGATTTCCTGTTTTCTTAAGGCTGCTTGTCTTATTTTGTGATGTTTTGTGTTGTGTTCTGACTGTGTAAGTAGGTCCAGTGTAGGTCCAGTAAGTAGGACCTGCTGTTTGATGCTCACCGTGGTCTCTAATCCCGCTCCGTTCGTGCGCTGCGCCCCTCATTATTCTAAAAGACCCTCAGAGAGAGAGAGAGAGAGATAGTGTGTGTGTGTGTGTGTGTGTGTGTATGTGTGTGTGTGTTTAAACGCGCATTTCATTAACAAACTGTGGAGTTTATGGAGCTTCTGAAGATGATGGAGAAGGATGGAGATGAAGAGCAGGAGAGTGGAGCGGACACTGAAACGGAGAAAAGAGGAGGAAAAAATAAAGGGGATTAACAGGGATTACTGTTAATCTGAGAATGAAGCTCTGTGATCATGATCGATCCTCATGACCTGCGTGTCTAAACTCCAATCACTCTTTGGAATCCTGCTGAGATTATTTAACCATGTATATATATGAAGAGCGTGTGTTCGTGATTGATCCCGATCACCTGTAACTGGTGATCTCGGCTGAGGTTATAAAGGACTCGGGTCATGTGGGACAGAGTGGTAAATGGTAATATGGGCCGTTGTTTTAATTATTTCCCCGTTACAGTCTCTTTTGTAATTGTCTCCTCATTCAGAGAGAATACACCAATGAGCTTCAGAAGAACACAGAATAAACAAGTTTCTTCAGTTAGTAAAGAGTTCTTTATTAACAAATATGGTCCAATAAAATATACATTATATTCTAATACTGTATTATTATGTACATTTAAAATGAGAAAATGAGAAAATTGAAAAACACCAAAAAAGCCTGAAACTCTGAGAGAGATGAGAGATTTAACTCCAGATTTAACCCCATCATAAACCGAACACCACAGTGATCTTAACATCTAAGAGCTCTGTGTGTGGGGGGGTCCTTCATCTGCTAAGTGGTCTCGTATTGATGGACGGCACATCTCACGGGTCACTGGGACACACAGACGACCAGAGAGAGAGAGAGAGAGAGAGAGAGAGAGAGAGAGATAGAGAGCGAGAGAGAGAGATCGTCTTCAACACTCTCACAAACACGAGCTGTGAACAGTGAAGGCGCGCGGAGCGGAGCGCTGTTCACTCAGCAGAGACTCAACTGAAGGTGTTGATCTCACATTTAATATTATCCTAAAACAATGTAAACAACACAAACTCAGCCAAAAGAGGGACTAAATACTCTACGTGTCCAGACAACCAAAATACAGAGACCACAATTACACACAGAAAATGACAACAGAGAATTAGCTGAGCTAAAACAAAAAATACAAAATAACAAAAATTGTCGTTATTACTACTATAATAATAATAATAATAAGAAGAAGAAGAAGAAGAAGAAGACGAAGTAGAATCGAAAAAAGAAGAACGCTCATTATTTTTATCAAATATAAAATAATATTTAAATGATCGTGTATTAATATTTAAAAACACAGTTTAAATATTATTAACATTATTATTTGTTACTTTTACTATTTAATTATTATTATTATAGTAATTCGAAATTACCAATATTACTATATAATTATTAGAATAACAATTACTATAATTACTATTTAATTGCTATTTATTAAATAAATGTATGTGAATAAAAGAGACATGACAATTAATAATAATAATAATTATTATTATTATTATAATTATAAAAATAATAATGTGTTGCTTTTTGATTAGTTATACTTTCAATAACTCTATTTTCATTTAAATTAGACATTGTAATAATTAAAACAATTTAATACAAAAAAATTACAAATTATTTACAGAAGCTGCTCTCTGTGTATCTGATTGTACAAACTGAACTGATAAGCCGCGCCAAACCTCTCTCTTTCTCTCTCTCTCTCTCTCTCTCTCTCTCACACACACACACACACACACTCCTCTCCGCTCTGCTGGAATAATCGCTGCTGTCCAATTAAAGATATTTCCATCTCTGCGGGTGGAGACTCAATCAGCGGATGCCTGCTAAACAAGCGAGTCCAGTCCAGTCCGGACAGACAGACAGACAGACATTTACTCCTTCATGTCTTTCAGAAAACACCGTATAACACTGATACACTGATGATAACGAACATGCGGCCTCGGCGCGTTACCTCGAGCTCAGGGGGCCAACATTTTCTCACAGAGCGCTCAGAAAATGTCTCGTTTTTATTTCTTCCTCCAGCCGCATCCTTTTATTTCTCCTCCTGTGCTCGTCCGCGGTGTGTGTGAGTGTGTGTGTTTCCCCCCTCCAGCTCGCTCATTTCCGACTGTTTCACATGCAAACGCGTTCAGTGATGGAGGTCGTTATCACCTTCACCTGCACGCCCCCCCCCCTCCGCCCCTCCGACCGCGCTGAGCTCTCGCAGCCTCAGCCTCGCTCTGCACGCGCTGCGGCCGCACAAAAGGTTCAAAACGCGCTTACTTACAGTGACAGTGAGCTCGGCCTGAGGTCTGAGACCGGACTGAACACGAGCAGCTCCGCGGCGGGACGCACAGCCGAGCCGGACGCGGCTTCGCTCAACAGCGGCGGATTTCTCAGTTTTCTTTTCTCAGTTTTCTCTCGTCTAGAGATTTCAGTCATGCCTCCCTCTCCCTCTCTCTCTCCCTCTCCCTCTCTCTCTCCCTCTCTCTCTTTCTCTCTCTCCCTATCTCTCTCTCTCTCTCTCTCTCTCTCTGTGTGCTAAATGCTCTCTGACGGACCGCGCGCTCTCACTGTTGTCCCGTTTGCTGACAAAAAAAGGTAAAAAAAAAAATCCTTCGTGCCACAAACTTCAGCTTTGCTTTGCTTTAAACGGGACGGCGGGGCGTCTGACGTCACTGGGCGGGAGGTGTGTGTGTGTGTGTGTGTGTGTGATGATCACGTGACCGAGCCGCCGGTATATCTTTAAGTTGAAAAGTAGGCAAAGTGTAATCTATCAGCACACACAGAGAGACGGGCTGCTTTTCAAACACACACACACTCTCACACACACACACTCGCTTGTTTTGGAAAAGCACGTGGCAAAACTCGCTCAAGAAGAAAACCGGGGCAGAGAGAGGGAGAGAGCAGCGAGCGCGCGCGGAAAACTTTTCTCCGTCTCTCACTCTTTCTCTGTCTTCCTCTCTGTCTGTTTAAAGTTGTAGTCTGAGCTGCCCGAACTCGCTCGGTCGGTCAGTCGGTGCCACCCGAAACGGGGCGCGCGCACGCGCACGCACACGCACATTCACACGGCTCCTCGGGCGAAGCTGCGATGACCCTGTCCGGCGCAGGCGGCGGAGACATGTCCGGGCACACGACGCTCGCGCCTGACGACGTGGACATCGACGTGGTCGGAGAGGGCGACGACTGCGACTGCGACGACAGCATCGGCGTCGGCAGCGGGCTGGAACGCGAGGACAGCGACTGCGAGGGCGCGCGGGCGGCACGCGGCGTGCTCGGCGACGATGATGATGAGATGGAGGACGCGGTCGGGGAGGAGGACGCCGACGTGAAGGAGCGCAGGAACGGCGGTGAGTGCAAAGGCGACGGCGAGGAGGAGAGCGGAGGAGGAGGAAGCGGTGGCGGCGGCGGCTCGTGCGCTCAGGCGCCCTCCTCCAAGCCCAAGAGCGCGCTGGTGAAGCCGCCGTACTCGTACATCGCGCTCATCACCATGGCCATCCTGCAGAGCCCGCAGAAGAAGCTGACGCTGAGCGGCATTTGCGAGTTCATTAGCAACCGCTTCCCGTACTACCGCGAGAAGTTCCCCGCCTGGCAGAACTCAATCCGCCACAACCTGTCGCTCAACGACTGCTTCGTCAAAATCCCGCGCGAGCCGGGCAACCCGGGCAAGGGCAACTACTGGACGCTGGACCCGCAGTCCGAGGACATGTTCGACAACGGCAGCTTCCTGCGCCGCCGCAAGCGCTTCAAGCGCCAGCCGGACGTCCTGCGCGACCAGGCGGCGCTGGTCATGCACGGCTTCGGCGCCGCGTACGGCCCGTACGCGCGCCCTTACGGCGGCGTGCACCCAGCGGCCGCGGTGGCGTACGCGCACGCGCAGGCGCACGCGCACGCCGCAGCCCTCCAGTACCCTTACGTGACGCCCGCCGTGGGCCACGTGCTGCCGCCCGCCGTGCCCCTGTTACCCTCTGCGGCCGAGCTGAGCAGGAAGGCGTTCGGGGCGCAGCTGGCGCAGCTCGCGCCCGGGCTCCAGCTGCAGCTGGGCGGCTTGGGCAGCGCCGGCACGGGAGTCACGGCGGCCACGACGCACGCGCCTGTCACACCCGCCATCAAGCGCGAGCCCACGTGCCCGCGACCCTCCTTCACCATCGAGAACATCATCGCCGGAAACAACACCAGCAGCAGCAACACCAGCTGCAGCCCGGCCTTTCTTCGGTCCCCGGTCCTGACCGCGCCGTCGCTGGCGCTCGCGCGGACGTCGCCCGTGCTCAGCGCGCCCACCACACTCGTCCCGGGACAGTTTCTGACCGCGGCCAGCACGGTGGCACCGTCCAAATGGGCATCGCAGTGAAAAAGACACTAAAAAAATACAAACTGTTGTTTTTTTTATACTTGTAATATTTAAAGGAGGGAGGGCAGAGACTGTAGCACTGGAGCGGCCGCCGCACTGTAGCCATGTACAGAGACTAAAAGAGACTGAAAAACAGAGACAAATACGCAGAATGGAGGGATGATGATTTCAGCACAGGTAAAATCTGTAAATATTTGTATAAAAGAAATGAAACGTACTTGTTCCACTATTTTTGTTGAATCTCTTTATTTTGCTTTATTTTATTCTCTATTTTTTGTTATTTCATCTGCTGTTCTTTAAATGTTATCAGTTTGGAGTACTTTCATTTTTATTTTCCGTTCATATATATATATATATATATATATATATATGATGGAAAATATTTGGAAATGATTGAGAGTGCTGATCTCTTTAGTTTATTTCCCATTATATATGTCGAAGTTCATATATATTGGAAAATATTGGAAAAACACGCACATATACATTCATTCATTTATATGTGTGTGTTTGTATTTTTCCTGTTTTTGGAATCACGAGCTGATTGTCTTTTTCATTTGTCTGATTTGTTTTTACTACAAAATATCGAATGTGCTTGTTCGACGGCTGGACAGGCAGTCTGTTTATAAGATCAAATTCATATATCTGTATTCTATGTAGCTATATTGTGTTGTAAATTGAATACATTTGTTAATAAATATTAAAATAAGAGCTGAACTCTCAGACAGCATCTATATTCTTAATTAGCTCAACTGGCTAATAGATGAGCGCTGAAAGGGAGATCAGGTGCTTTTCATCTTGTGGGGTTTAAATCCGCTCTTTAATTAATTGTAATTAATGGTAAATGAAAGTATTGATTTTTAATGTAATTCAGAATACAAGAAACTGCAGGAATATATGTAGGAGAAAAGTAATACACATTATTAGCCTTTTTAACAGAATCTTTAATAAAACAAAAAGCAACGTTCATTACAATTTTTATTGAAACAAATTTTGTTCAAAACTTGAGCTGTTATTAATTTTACTGTAGTCTAAACATTAGCATTTACTGATAAACGCTACAGGCTCTAAACTGAGCAGGAGTTACAGAATTTATCGTTGAAATATTTGCTTATAAAATAACTATGAACTATGCAGTCTACATGTAATTATATTGTAATTATACTGTAATTATTATTTGTATTATTTGTGATGCAGCTACAAACAGCGTAGAGCGTAACTGAAGCTCTTATTGTCTTTAAACGGTTATCTCCGCAGTCTGAACTCTCACTATGAACACACAAACCAGCACGCTTCTCTTTCAATTTAATTAAACGGATTAATTAATTGCTTAGAATGAAACAAGATCTCGGCGCGCGCGAGCCTGACTGGATGAGCAGGACGAGCTCGTGTGTAAATGAGCTCTGAAACACTGAACACTCTGAATCAGACTTAAACACAGTGAAACCCTCTGCAGGCTCTCAGTGTGAGCCGCGTGTGTCTGAGTCTCTCTGCTTTGGCGGTTGTGTGAGTGAGTCTGATGAGCGCTACACAAACAGCACATGGAGGCTTTGGGGTTACAGGGTTAGGGGGGCTATATTTAACTATTTCACTGATCCCCATGGGAAAAGAGAAAGGCCTCGCCTTCCTAAAGCCACTTTCCGCCGGAGAGGCGCAGCTGCCTCCTCAGGCAGCCAGGCTTTCAGTCAGGCTGCGCGCTCAGCGCTCAAAGCGCTGCTGGCCTTTTAGGAAATCAAGCAAATAAAGGAATGAAGCACCTGCAGTACAGACTCCTGTGTTTCAGGAGAGGAGGATGAAGATGATGAAGATTCAGGGGTCATTAAACTCGTGGTAGAACCACGTTAACTGTCTAACTGAAGAGAAATACGACGAGACATGAATGCATTTGGACATACTGCTTGGACTACTTATTTCAGAAGGAAGAAGATAAATAGTCCAAGCAATATAAACAAATAACAAAAACAAATAAACAAATAAAAAATTAGATTAGATTTTATTAGAATTAGATTTTTTGGATTAAAATAAATTAAGAAGCACAACGAAATATAATAATACTAATATAATAATAATAATAATAATAATGATAATAATGATAATAACAATTATATGTATATATATATATATATATATATATATATATATATATATATATATACACATATCATAGATAGACAGACGGATAGGTCTAGATCTGTCTCTACTAGATCTACTCGTTTACTCTACTTATTTTTATATAGATTTATCCATCTCTCGATCTCTCCATCTATATATATATATATATATATATATAAATATACATATATTTATATATATATATATATATATATATAGATAGATAGATAGATAGATAGTAGCAATAGCAAGACCATATATATATATATATATATATATATATATATATATATATATATATATATATACATATATATGTATGTAAATATATATAAAGACCATATATATATTAATGTGTGTGTCGATAAATATACATATATGGGCGGATAGATACACAGATAGGTAGACAGACAGACAGACAGACAGCTATACTTTTCTTAAACTCTGTAAGAGACTGTATAAAAGGAACATTTGTCCTCTTGTACTCTCTACATTGTCCTCTTACTATCATTACCCCTTACCGTCTCTGACTTAAAGACCAAATCCAGTGAACAGGACTATCGCTCCATCCTCCAATAGTCCACTAATAATCCTACAGCCTGTGTGAGGATTAGACTCTCGGTTCATCACTAGGCGGCGCTTTCACACACCCTCTCATCCTCATCCAGAGTACAAAGCAAATTAGACAAGAGAAACATTTTGGAATGCTAATGCTCTGCTAGTGAACCTGCAGAATAAGGCTGTAACATTTCTAGGCACCTGTTGACATGACTAGTCACCATTAGGCTAGTTTATTCTGAACAGCAGACATATGTCTAAGATATTTTAAGGTCAGTTCATAGAACTGGCAAAATTTCACGATTCTTACTTTTTACGTAATTCCAAATCTTTAGGGCCAAGGAGTAAAAGCTTCTGCTGAAGTTGAATATTTCCTAATCATTTCCAAAAACCACAGTCCAAGACTTTTCAGGCTACATGATTAAGTTAAACGTTTTGCGCACTTATTACAGTAGCAAGACCACTCTGATTGAGAACATATCATTTTTTAAACAAATATACGATAAACATTATGTTTATGTGTCATTGCTGTCATAACAAAATAGTAACTTTGTAAGAGATGGAAGAAATGTGCTTTAGTGTAATGTACATTAAAGTAATAAGATTTTATTCCAGGTCATTTTAGACCATTTCTATTGAGCCATTTTTCACAAAACATAAGGTTAAGGCCAGCTGGTGTGGTGTTTTAAAGTGCTGTATAAATATAAAAACAGGAAAAAAACATTTTAGATATGACCTTAACAACATAAACGAGCAACACTGATTCATACTTATTCATCATTCATATTAATATCATTTTCAGCATAGACTCTGATAGAAGGTCAAGAAAGTGAACTTTCCATGGGTTGTGTCTTTTTATGGTGCGTGAAAGTTAGTGACTGCTTTCTTCACAGACTGACCCTGCTGTGCCTGTCAATGACGCAAGTGTTGGTGTGGTCACTCAGTGGTCAGTCAGCGGTCACTCTCCAAGAAAGCTGACCTTTGTTGCCACACCTGCTATGGTGCAGGGCACAGGTGTGCTGAACTATATTCCCACAAGCATAAGCGTTTCTTGCAGTGAGAGCAGTGTGTGGACCTCCCATTGTGGTCCAGTTTGTCTGGAGATATCTTGAATATGTTTTAAAAGGAAGCCTTAAATGAATACACCCATGCTTTTCAACATAATTTGTATCTGCTGCAGCTGTAGCACACAGTCAGTTGCCACGAGTCAATGATTTTGACATGTTCAACTGTGCTTAGTCAAAAAATGGAATAGCCACTGACTCTAAACAAGATTATAATAGAAACCAATGGGCAGAAACACCTACCCACTGGCTTTTATTACAAGTGTGTTTCAGCAGGTTTTTAATTCTATTTAATTACAGAGAATAATAATTATGATTAAGAGTGGATATTTTGGATACACAGTTGCATGAAAAAGTTTGAACACCCCGTACATTTTATTGCACAATTAATACTGTTTGCTGAGTTCAGCATATTGGAAAAAAAAAATATAAAACATAAAATGTGCCATAATTTTTACACAGGCCACACTTTATGTTGACCTCTCAGTATGTTACAGTCAGGAAATAAACAGTAATCATGCATTAAATTGCACAAATGTGTGTTCTTTATAGATTATTTACTTAAAGAATCAACATTACATGTGATTTGACCTTTTTGAACTTTTGCATATGACATATGACCAGTGTACAGTTGTTGGAAATTAGCATGAATAATGCTGGAGTTTTCCTATAAGCACATTTTATAAGTTCTTCCAAATAATTTCCACATCATTTAAAGCACAGTTGCTCACTCACCCCATTCCAAAAAAGGAAAATGAGAAAGTGTCGTCTCTTTCTGTCATTAAAAGTACAGCTTTTATTTACACAAAAATTAACTGTGAGTATTAAGCTATCAAAAAAGCTCATAACTTAAGAACAAAGTTCACTCAAAAAATAAAATATTGGATTTCATTTGTGAAAAAAGTTAAATCAAATGGTTAAGTAGCTTCCAAGATACTTGATTGAGTAATGTGTACTTAAAGAATTCAAATTAACTCGACAGATTTTTTTTATGCTTTACCAAAAAATTAAATGTTGAATTTACTTAATTAACTGTTATGTAAAGTGGTTTCACACCACTGGGTTAAGCAAATCACCCACAAGTGAATTCTAATTAACTGGACTGATCATTTTTATGTTTTACTATAACATTTAACTTAATGTAGTTATATTCTACTAAATAAAGTATGACCCCATGTCCAAAGAATTTGGGACACTGTGCAAAATGTAAATAAAAACAAACTGCAACAAATCAATTAAACTGCAAATCAATTAAACCATATATTTTATTGAAAATAGTACAAAGACAACATATCAAATGATGAAACGGAGAAATTTTATTGTTTTGTTTTTTTTTAAATATGTGCCCATTTTGAATTTGATGCCAACATCACGTTCCAAAAAAGCTGGGACGGGGGCAACAAAAAGCTGTTAAAGTTGTGTAATGCTAAAAAAACACCTGGTGGTTGATTGGCAACAGGTCAGTAACATGATTGGGTATTAAAAAGCATCCCAGAGAGGCTGAGTCTTTCAGAAGTAAAGATGATGAGGGGTTCACCACTCTGTGAAAGACTGCACTCTATCGTGCAACAATTCAA